ACGTCTACTCTCTCTCTCTCTCTCTTCTCTCTCTCTCTCTCTCTCTCTCTCTCTCTCTCTCTCTCTCTCTCTCTCTCTCTCTCTCTCTCTCTCTTCTTTTTTTCTCGTTCTCTCTTTCTCTTTCGTCATCCTATTAAAATCGCAGCTCGTTATCGCCAGCGATTTTTGTCCTTATAATAATTGTATATCTCTGTGACTATGTACAGCCTATGGACAACGCGTCGCACTTTACTTTTCTTATAGACTCAATAATATTATATAAATACGTTGGTATACTTCGTGACTATATTTTATCGACAGTAGTAAGAGTAGTGGTAGCAATAATGACGATTGAATTAGCCGCTAAAAACGATCTGGCTGATTGTAACAATTACAGTAATAGTAATAATAGTAATTATAATAATAATAATAATGATAAATAATAGTGACTAGCTGGTAGATAGTTAGCCGATAAATTGATTTATAAGTAGCCTTCGATTTTTAGCAGAGAAGCGTCATTGATGGGCGCGCCGGCCCTCGATAAGTCGCGCGCTGACCTCGCTTAAATGGTAATAACAGTTATACAGCGTTAAGTGTGGCAAGAATCCGATATACAGCTAACTTAATCATCTTTACACGACTTAGAGCGGTAACCATCAACCTGTCGAATAATATATAAACGCAATTTCTCCCGTTGTTATGTATGTACATAAGCGGCGATAGCGATCGCCGCCGATCGTGTGATACTTTTTGACGCAGACATCATTATGTACAAAAGATATATCATTACGGGATCACGACGTAGTCCCGTAAATAATAGTCCGTTCTAGCTTATAATTTCGCGGATGCTCCGACGGAGCCATCGAACCGGTTAGATGCCGTTATAGCGTTTCCTAAGCAGCCTACAGCAGGCTGGTCGGCTCGTGCTCGACCAGCTGTGACAACTTTCACCAACGTCGTCATCCGACGATCGCACGTGATAGCGAGTTGACGTTGTCGAGTGACGTAGTCCGAAATTCACGCGAGCGATGTACGTATGTAGGTACCCGTGACGCACGGCCGGATTCGCCGCGGCATTCGGATGAGTCACACGCGTCTCACGAAGTGTCGGATTTCTCCCAGGTCGTAGGCCGATCCGCGAAGCTCGGTCACGATCGACGTAATTCTCTTCCTCTCTTAGGTGTTGATTTACACGTGTCTCACGTATATGCTCGTGCATGGGAAACTGGGCATCGTTTTCTCGTACCGTTTCGTTCACTCGTATTCGATAGATAGACGAGAGCGGAACGACTGCGATCTGTGTCACGAGTACGCTGGATCGCTTGGTCGCATAAGTCCCGAGAACGATGCTCAGTACCCGATCGTCGATCTTTAAGGATGGTCTCAGATGGGTGTCGGCAGGACCGTGAAATCCTGCAGAGCAGTCTTCACCGTCTCGTAAATCGGCCGGTTGCTTTCGTCGGCGCAGTAGCCGTCGGCGGTACACAGAGTCTGCAGCTTCGTCAGGTAACTGTCGAAGTTCTCATGGCCTATTTTCTCCTGCGGTCCGCCCGGGCCGTTCGGTAATCGTACTTGCTCCAGCAGAGTGATCATGTTGTCGCGCAGCGACTGATAGTACTCGGTCAGATTATTATTGCGCTGAACTATCGTTGTGGTTTCCTGCAAAAGATAATGATAGCTCTCGTTAATGCTGACCTGCAAAAATGTTCCCTCAACGACGATTATACTCATTTCAAGCTCAATAAAAAATAATAAAAATTTAACCTTAACAAAGATGAATGTAGTTCAGTTATATAATAAATTTTTCTAGCTACAAATACAAAATAAAATTTATAATATCGTTTCTTTCTGGAATATGCGGTTTTAAGACGTAAAATGGACTGATTAACCACCGGTTATGTTACTTGTCCAGTATCAGCGTACGGTTAATAGTTGTACGGAAGATAATTATAATATCATCATTTTATGTAACAAATATTTTTTTTAATAACAATACCGAGGGAGAGAATTCTTTAATTAACGAGATTAAGATTAACGATATCATTATTTTAACGCGACATTTAGCAATTTAAATTGAAGTTCAGTTGCGCATTTCGCGGTAAGATAAGCGCAATTAGCTCACGAGCAACAAGCTCAACAGTTAGAAACAACGGGGTAACGGTCCATTTTTCCACGTACAATTGTTTGTTATTTATTTATTCGGCATACGGTATACTACCGACTGAGCAAATACTGACCTTTTCTCCGTGCTGGAGTTTATTCTCCATGGCGGTGACTTCCGAGCGCAAGCGCAAGACTTGCGACTCGACCCGGGCGTTCTCTCTCTGGAGCTCGGTGATCTCAGCCTCCAGTGTGCAGAGATCCTCGCCACCGTCGGTCCCGCTACCGCTCGAGTTACCCTGACCCGTGCCTACCGCACCTCCGTAAGCCGGACCACCGGCTTCCAACCCTGAAGACAGGATAGACACGGTCCAGTTTGATCGACTGCCCGTTTTACGGACGAAAGAGAGATTGATATCGTATATTTCCCGGTTTCCAGAGAGTCTCTGGTTTCGCCCGCAATCAAGCGTGCACGCCGCGATTCGTACGCCCTTTCGTCTCAATGTGAAATACGGCCCTAATATGTGATACGTAATAAATGCTATGAGAAAGCTACTGGAAATTGGCACGACTCGAGTTCCCACGGTCGACGGAAGTTCGTACGAATTTTTCGTATTTAAATAGAAGCATTCTTGCATTTTTTTTTTCTTTTCATTCATGACCGATAAGCGATTAGATGGAAAAAAAAGTCCGAATATATTGAGGTTTGCGGGACTTTCACGTGGTACAGGTGGAAATGTAGCGAGCATTTATAATTTACGTCAAGGATCTCGGTTCAGGCAGCGACTTAGGCGAAGCGGTTTGTGAAAAATCGCAATTATGTAGAGTTCGAATAAAATCTTTCGACTTTCGATTTTCTGATATTATATATCTCTGTTTTTCTCTTCTTTTTTTTTTTTTTTTTTTTTCACTTCGCTTGTCCCAGGTCGCTGCATTATAGCTTATCTCGAAATAATGGGATACGGTACGGTTTCTTCTGCGTACGGTTCGTGCCAAAGTGATAAACGCATCTCGGCAGAAAAGCGAGAGACACTTTGAGGCTCATTCGATCAAGCGTGTGCTCCGACTTGGTAAGAGACGCACGAACCTGACAGGAGTGCCGTGGGAATGGTATGATCGGGACAATGTCGGGGTGTTTTGGGGTAATTAGCGTGAGGTGCCATCATACCAGATAGAAGAAAAAAAAGACGGAGGACACCGAGTGCTGGCGTCAATACACGGCGCGACATTTTATTGCGCGTGAATGAGCAAAAGAAAGCTTATGGTTGTTTACTGTGCTAGAGGTACAATTCACAAATATTGCCAACACTCGGACGTCGTCACGTAAAAAAAGTAAAAATACTGGTGTGTGGAGATTCTGTAATGTAACATCGAAAACACATAGGAAACAAGTGGCGAATACGTCAGTCCCTTACCTTCAAAAGTAACCGTGCTCCAAGCTCAACATGAAAGGAGCTGATCCCAGAATAAATCAGAATATATTATTTTCCATCATTAAGACATACGGTTGTTTTTTTTTTTTTTTTCGTATTTTACATTTCTGTCTTGTACATAACGAAGGAAGAGGTTTCCTGCACGGGACCGAATCGAAAGGGAGGAAAAAAAATGAGATGTAAATTAACGCCATCGTATTCGATTCTCTTGCCTCTTTTGTTTTATCCTTTTTTTTCTCTTTTATAAGCTACTTGTGGCATCCGTTTCATATCTAATTCATATCAGTTGCGATATTCGTTCGCAAGCCTGGAACATTTATTACTGAGAAAAAGAAAGGAATTGAAACGGGAAAAGAAATATTTAAAAGGGAGAAATGAAAGAAAACGAACTCTTTAATGGTCAAGAGAAGAACGAAAGGATAGGGAAAGAGGTTACTCTTATTGGTATGACAGCACATCATTGCGAAGAGCAGAGTATGGCATAGCATGGGATCAAGTACAAGGTCTGATATGCACAAGTTTACAAAGGAAAGTACATAATTCCGTATGTTTTAGCATCGCTCTAGTCCGGGCGTTGATCGAACGATCCATGAAAAGCAGTATGATGTTACGTTACTACTTTTGTCTTATACAAAAATATTATTAAAATAAAAGAAATAATCGTTGTTGATTATAAATCCCGAACGAGCACGATGCGCAAGCATAGAAAAGAATAGAGAGCGAACTTAAACTGTCTTATCTACTTCGTAACATTCTCTCTCTCTCTCTTTCTTATCTTCTCTCTCTCTCTCTCTCTCTCTCTCTCTCTCTCTTTTTATCGCGCGTTTTGATAGAAAAACGCATTTCGCGGTTTCAATTTTGGCAGCTGCGCGCGAGGAGAGCTTTGGATAAAACTCAATCGTTATTCTTCTTTACAACGATTGGTCTCACGCACAACGTTATCTCTGACAATATTATTCTTCGATCGTTAAGTATTGACAGCCGGGGATGACATCAAGGGCAACTCGATCCTCACCGGTGATTCCTCTGCTGTACATGCTCATATTGTCCTCCGATTTCGGTTTCTTCACGGCGTGGCTAGCTATCGGACAGCCCGATAAGGACCTATGGCTGTGGAAGGAGCCATTTATGTGACCGAGTCCATCGCATCCGGGTGTGGGGCAATTGACACCCTCGAACTTCATGGCCGTCGCGGCAGCCACGGCCGCCTTGTGCTGCTCCACCGTACCACCAGATTCCAACACCCGCATTTTGTTCCTGTTTGCAATCGGGCATCCAGATGCACTGCAATAAAGAAACAAGAATATATATACGTGAAGATTGTACATTATCAAAATTTAATCCTCATATAACAAATAAATAAGTAGTATAACTACAGCATTTGAGTATTTTATAATTGTAACTAATTATACGACTCATCAATAACTATGAATAATTTCAATATTTTTAATAAATTAAAAATTTTTAAGGACTAATCTTGCATAAAAACTAATTATTTGTTAAAAGCTCTTGATTAGTTTGATACGTGAGATTATACGTGATAATTATACGTCAAAAAAAAAAAGAAAAGAAAGCAGCGTTAGCCTAAGGTAAGATCTATGCTATGTGAAAACTCCTACGAGCCTTACCTGCGATGTGACAAGAATTTGCCAGTGGCATGACCGGACCCGTCGCAACCCGGGATTGGACATCTGTAGTCCAAAATGCCAACACCACCGTCACCAACACCACATAATCCATCCACACAGAGCGAGCGTGAAACGAGCGGAAACCGCCAGTTATTAGTCAGCGTCTTCGCTTTTGCGCGGGGTGTAACTCGGGCAAAGGGAGAGTTAGGATGCGGTTAGGGGGAGAGAACGGGATTTCCCCTTTCTCGGGTCTCATCCGGCAACCTCGCGGTACGTGCAATGCGGTCGAGAAGATACCTGCGTTAGCTGCTACGTGCAACGTGCGAACGCGACGAAAACGCAAATTGAGATCGCGATTACCGCCGCACCCTCAAATTGCGAAACTTGCGAGATGTAATCGCGTCGTGAAACCAAATCCTACCGAATTCGTGATAGCATCCCACTCTTTTTGGATCTTTTTTGCATTAATTTCTATCCGCTACTTTTAACTTTTAATTGAATGAATAAAAAAATTTCGCAAATCGAAATAGATTTTTTTTAAAGAATTTCCTTTTTAATTCTATATTATATTTAAATGTTAAATATATTAATGTTAAATATATATATATTTAATGTTAAAATATTTATATATTTAATGTTAAATATATAATATATAATTTATTTTATTTCGTAAAATTCAATTAATGAAATAGTCTTTTAATGAATGTTGCCAAATGAGTGTCATCCAACAAAATTAAACAGGATTAATTGAATTCTATTCAATATAATTCAATATAATGGGTAATTCAATATAGTTAGCGATTCTCAAAAAATAAAAACTGGGAAACACTGCAGACTCTGTGTTAATCGCATAAACAGAAAATACAAGCGGAATAAAGAGGGGATAATTAAAAGTACTCGCGTGCCGAACTGACCTCAGAGGTTCAGAATCTTGACCATCTCGAGGTTTACTCTTTGGCTTGTTGGCCCGTGGACAGCCGGACAAACTTCTGTGCGACGAATAATTTCCCGTGACGTGTCCAGAACCATCGCATCCTGGCGTAGGACACTTGAGTTCTTGAGAGTGCGCCTGGATTTGCGAGCGATCAGCTCGTGGACATCCAGAAAGACTGCAAAAGGAAAGAAGATTCTTTTCTATTTTAACACGTTGCGAAAACGCCATAAAGACCACGCGCTGCGTATTCTCTGCGAGGAGACACAAAAACGTTATCAGAAACTTGAAAGAATTTGAGTGAGAAATTTGTCATGTTGTCTGATAAGATTTTGCAACGCGTAATCTTCATGGTTTTCGTCGTACGAACGTACACCTCAGAAACGTCCAACCATCGCTTCAGCAACACATCGCATGCAATTTACGCGACGTTGCCACGATGTCGTGAGTACTCACATGATCTAAGGCTGACCTGAAGGACGATCAACGTCTCGAAAATTAGATCTCGATGAGTATCTGAACATTTTGTTCGCTGAAAGGATCAAGATCGTGTCGCATGACAGGTGACACGACACATCACCGAAGTTAACGTATTGCTATTAATCGCCGCTAAGATCTAAATATGTATATATTTATCGAAGAGCGGCAAGAGAGACGTTGGCTCACCGAGATCAGTGCAGCATATCGGCACTGGCTTTATTACAATTTAATTTCGGACGACTTGCCTTGCGTCCAGTTCGAACGAAGACATTGAGAGCAAGGGAGACCTAAGACTCGCATCTCTCGCTCGAATATCTCTCGCGCGCTAACGATCGTAGCCCGAGTCTTACGTTCCGGGAACATCCCTCGAATGTCGTGCGGATTATGATCGATGCGGACGGACAACGGATTGTGTTTGGTAGCATGCAAATGGCAACGCCGTGTTCCAGTTGGATCACTTATGAGGTGTCGCTCGTAAGATCAATCGCGGCTTCATACTCGCATTGATCCGGGGGATCGGTCTTACTCTAAGAACATCGAAAGGGAGAGCAGGGAGCACACTCACACCTGACCCCAATGAAACTCGCCAATTGCCAATTTGACTTTGCGCACGGGGTGCGTCGCGAAGCGATATCTTCACCGCTTCGTGGGTATTCTTGATCATTACGGTTCTGCTATGACATGGTCATCGGCAACAGTTCGCTACGAGCTGCCCACTCGAGGCTGGCGAAAGCGGCTTTCAACGGACGAATAGTCAGTAAATTAATCACTACGTATGCGTACGAAAGCGAATGAGTCTCGCGATCGAAAGCGGGTAAATCTTGCACAATGCCGATTTCTCCGCAACGCCAAACCTTGATTTTGCCATCCCTTTTCGTAGGGGTCGGGTAAAAACAGCGAAAAAAAAATGAAAAAAATTCATTCAGTTATCGAGGCCTATCTACACACTTTTGGTATCGCATAATGTAAAGTAGGATACGAGACGAGGGAGAGAAAAAGAAAGTGAGTGAGAGTGAGCGAAAGAGAGAGAGGAGAGAGAGAGAGAGAAAGAGAGAGAAAGAGAGAGAGAGAGAGAGAGAGAGAGAGAG